CTCAGACGCAAATCATTAACGGCAAGAATGGAACAAATTTACTTGATCAGATGATAAATGATTCGGGTGGTGCGAATAGCCTGCTGGGAGGCATTTCAATTTCACAAACATTTGGAGGCGATTTATTTTTGCATTGGCAAACTCAATGCCGTGGAAAGTACGACGTTAAGGATCCATATTCATTCATTCCAGACAGTGATATTTTGCTTCAATCACGAGCTGACACCTGCATGCTTCGGTACAATGCCTCGACCGTCCTAAAACTGTATGCCATCACAAGACATATTCAATCACCAGGAGCAGTTATATTTTCCACCGACGATTTACTTTTGCAATTGAACCAAACGGAATTGAAGCAGCTGGAGAAACAGATCGCTGTCTCGCCGCTAAAACACCCAAAATTACTAAAGAAACTTCTCAATATAAATGATCCAAGCACCAATTCGGATGGGAATACAAATTCAGACGGTAATTCGAACACGAGTGTAAACAACAATACGAAAAATAATGCTGCCCCTGTTGCTGCTGCTTCTGCCCTTGCTACCAACACTACATCTAAGTTTAATGTGGGCGAGGAAAGACGCAAACCATTCAAAAATCCGAATAAACAGAACGCATTCGAAAAGCTAAAGAACAGAAAGAAGCTGCTGGAAAATAGCAACAAAAGCCCCGTTCCGAATTCAGTACGAATGAATCCAAGTAATTTTGAAAAGCCCCTGTTTAATGAGCAAGCTAATGAAATGGATGTTCAGTTGCCAATGGCGCTGCCAAATGAAGGAAATGCCGAAAGCGAGATAATTAACCAGCGCAAAAAACAGCTGAAAATTACATCATAAACAATATTAACCGAGTTGAAGGTCGCAACCAGTATGGAAATGAAATGATTCAGGAGCCGCAAGAGGTGCCCGCTGAGTTGAATAATCCTCTGGAGGATTATCAAAATTACTATGATGATAATAATGAGCGGCGCATTATGGCAATGGCTATGGCCAATAATCGTGATGTGCGAAGTGATGACAATATACCAGGTAAACCGAAAACGTTCCTTTTTTACTGCTGTCACAACAGGAAATCTTTTCGATTTTCAATTCAATTCAATTTCATTTGCTTCATTGAAGTAAATCATTTTGTATTTAGAAGTATAAAAAGAGTTTCTAAGCCCAATTGGCCAATACCCTAAAAATATTTAAAATATTTTCTTTGCTAATTTAGTTGTCGAATTCGATGATGGCAGTTACAATGATTCATTTTCATCGCACATCCACCCAAATGATTTCTCTGCTTCATCGGAAATCGTGAGTAAAACACGTAAAAAAGATCGAGCGGAAACCCTATGGGATCTGGAAATGGAAAAAGAGAACGCGGATCAAATGAAAGAGGCGGCACAAATGTTAAATCCAAGCAATGATGAAGAGAATGTTCGAAAGCGACGTCAATCATCCGAATTTAATATTCCAAATAATCAAAATTTATTGGCACAGATATCATCAACGGGCGTTTTAATGAAACCGCTTGATACCGCACAATCAACATTAGACTTTGTGTTCGTGCTTAATGTGCGCGAATCAGAACTTTATCCACCGCTTTTATTAGCCGAAGATCTAAAATGCCTTGAGGATAAGCTAGCAGTTTATAAAGATGAATTCACTTCAGGTAACATTCGGTCATCATTTTGATGTTTTGTTCGTTCGTTCAGTCATTTATTTTCATTTCCAATTACAGAATATGCCAGAAATAATGTGGAATTAGCCGAAAAGCAATTTCTTAAAGAGTGCTTAATGAAAAGGATGCCAAATCTAGCGCCGCACACGTATCAATTTGAATCGCAAATTGTTGTGACTCGAATTTCAATTACTTGTACGTGTGGTGATATAAAAACCGGCGAGAAATGTTCAACATTCAATTCAATTGAACAGCAAAAATGGACTGAGTTTATGGGGAATTTGAATAGCGGTGTTTACCGCTCAAATTAAATGTATTTTTTATTGTGTGAACAAGTGAACATGAATGTTACTTACATTAAGAGGAAAAAATATTCTTTATTTACGAGCTATCGTTTTTTTGGCTCATTTTGCGGATTTTTTTTTGTATATGTATAAAGTTTTCTCTTACTATATAAAATAAAAAAAAATTTGATTCATTGTACATATTTGATGGTTTTTTCACTCATTATTTTTGAAACATTGCGCCGATTAATGTAGATGGTTTCCGAGAGGGGCATCCGTTGTTTTTAAATGCTGACACACACACCGCAAATCCAGTTTGCGTACAATTCTTTTTAATGTTTTTGACACATTTTGACACTTTGCAATGCTCGCCGATGTCAAGAGTGTAACTCGAGTTGATTTGAGATTTTCCTAACTTTTCTTTCAATCATTGTTTCTTTTTTTTTTGCTATCACTTGTCTAATCTCAACAGTTGAAAATGGGTATTTTGGAGAAAATTTCGGAAATCGAAAAGGAAATCGCCCGAACACAGAAAAACAAAGGTAATCCATCGAGTGAAGATTTGTGTCTTATGCTAAGGTTATATGCCATTTAACCATTGAAAACTAACAAAACATTGAAATTTGTTTCCAAACAGCCACCGAATACCATTTGGGTCTGCTGAAGGCAAAATTAGCAAAATATCGCTCGGAATTGCTTGAACCATCTAAGAAGGGAGAAAAAGGCGATGGTACAAAAATTAATGATTTTAAAAATGTTCT